TGGTGATTGTCTACAAAATGTGGGAAGTTTCTCAAACTCATGTTTGGGCTCATGTCAGACAGTCGCAGCTGGAAACCAAATGTTTGATGCGCAGAGGAATCAGTAGAGAGAGAGTTGGCATATTGGCATTATCAGCCTTATCAACTTCATATTTACTCATAGATGACCTTGCTGTTTACTTATTTCTTGGAAGAGCTTTGATCTGTGTTTTCCAATTGACCAATATTGGACATATTTATGCTGAGAAAGTAATGTAAAGAAGTAATACAAAGTGTAGAAAATTCCGGATGACCATTTAACGTCATAAGCCTTCCTTACAAAGTCTCATAAAGATCCTATCAAATCGTAATATACTTGACCAATGTAAAAATTATTTTTCCAATTCTTATTCTAACCTCGGTACTTGAATGGTCCCTGTCTTCATGAACCACAAGAAAGTGGAACCCAGCAAAATTTTCATTTGATTGTGGTAACCCGTTGATTTACCAGCATTGAATTGTTAGAGCTTTTCCAGATCCCCATCACTTATCTGTCGGCTGATATGTTGTTATTAAGATGGCAGTGGTTCCTGGCACTGGTTTACGCTCAGGCAGGCCTTCAGATGAAAATGTCGGAAGCCTACGGTGCTGGTTGAATGCCTGCTCTACGCCCCAGTTTGACACCGGAGAACACCTGCGAACTTTTATTAATATTAATCACCTTATAATCAAAAATTTTTAATAGTTACTTGTTTTAGACAGACCTGCTGAATTCACTAATCATTCTCAACACAGTAATCACCGTGTAAGCAGAGTCGCTACCAATAACCACCCGTGGAAAATTTGCTTTCTTCACCTATTATGTTGGTGTAAAACAGTATCCTTTTTGTGCACCAATCTAATTCGTACATCGGTTCAGAAAGGTATATAGTATGCCAGGTCACTTCACTTGAATTTAATCCATCTACTGTTTTAGAATTGAAAGAAGAATGGTGTCATAACTCCTACTTAGCGCCTGTTCATTCACCTGATAAGGATTATACGCACCCTAAGATGAAGAAAATTAGATGATCAACAACATGAACTTATTCTATAGAATTTGTTGACTGAATCTTTAGCATAAAAACAGAGAAAGCAATTAAAACCAAGTGAAGTATCGAAAACTTTAGAACAAAAGAGTGGAGCTACTTTCGTTTAATATACTTGTTTATTCCCTTTTCAGTTCCAACTACACCTAAGTTTTCAGTTAATTCGAGTTCATACCTGCCTTTGTATACCTTCAATGTCTACTCAGTGTTGCCTTCAGGCTGCTATCAGCTTTCACTGTGGTGCGAAACATGGTTATCTATCTTCTTGGTGAACTGCTATCATCAAAAAACTGTTCAGCGTCATGTAGTCTGACCGACGGCCATTATACTCTTTCGAGATTCTAGTGGCCAAACCCATATGAGTACTGAGAGAGAGCAAGGTTTTGGGTCAGTTGGTGCTGGCATCTGCATCGAAGCCTATTTACATGTTTTTTGTCATAAGTTTTTATTGTGGTATAGACAGATGTATTTTTGATGCTTCAGTACATATAGATAACATGATAGGTGCCTTCATAAAAGCGATAAGGAAAATGAACAGAAGTAGGTATTATTGTCAGTTTTTCCACTCCCGGTGAGGTATGATCGTTTCTTTTATACTTCCCAATCACCCGTATAACTTTATCAGCTGTAATACCGTTGGTTTATTGAATGATTTATGTGGTCATTATCTACACCCATCGAATGTCAGAGGTTCCCAGTGCGCTCAGCGTATCTGCGAAATACGAAGGGCATCATATTTCTATTGTTGCTCCATATCTTTCATGGTTATTGATGAAAGGATACTCACCTGATTCTCGCTACTTGTAATAGTAAGAAGCTTGGCGAAGGACATGTTTTCTTTTCTGTGAAAGCGAAGCGAAGTCGCCTTTTACGTACTTCTCAGAAATTAAAAAAAAAGATTTTGGTGGAATATCATGGAAAGTATAAGTCAATTGTGTTTGATAAAGATGGAATCTTATATTTTTCATACAAATGCGTCTACAAGCAAGCCTTTAGCGACTTTTCACAAGTGCGCAGTTATTGTGGTATCAGTAGGACGCGTTAACTAGCAGAGCTCAGATCCCTCCCGCTGGGTGTCCAGGATGTCTTCTCAATCGTGATTTCGCGGATGGAAATTTAAATCGTTATTAAGGATGTACATTTTTGCTCCCCAAGTACCTTTGCAGATGATCCTTCAGTCACTGTATTTGATCATCACTAGAATTTCCATCAACAAGAAACTCTTTTGAAGGTTAGATTAGGAACCTGTACTATGATAAGTTTGACAGCAGCATAAAAAATTCTCACAAATTTGATGCTAGAATTACAATGTTCTAACTTTTATTTACTGTCTGTTCCCTTTCATAGGAGGGTGGTGTGTGAAAACAACCACAAGGATGCTGAGATATGGACAAGACTGGGAGCCTGAGGTGCACTTCGAACCGCTGGCAACCCTTTCCGCCGGCTCACGTGTTATCCAATGCACCAACCGATACCTTTGCTTTGCTTTTTCGCAACTATTACTCTAACTGTGACAACAGTAGTCACCCACCAACGGAAGTGATCTGAGGAGAATAAGTCGTAATGAACCCAATTATGCTGAAGGTGCTGCCGAAATCACAATGTCTTAATTTTTAACTCGCTCTTCACTTCTGGGCTTGTGTGGGACAGTGGTTGGAGGCGCACTGCAATACACGTAGGATCGATTCCAGCGCCTGTGAGCCACCAGGCCTTCCATCCCTCCAGCGTAGGCAAATTGATGCCATACTTGTCTGGGAGGATAGCAGCACTAGCTCGATACATCGATAGGCCACCGCGAGTCATTGCAAAGCGCGGTTGTGCCTTCAATTGATCACCTCCAAACGATGCTCAATGAAGCCGAATGCATGGCGCACCCCTAAGGGATTGATCAACGCCGAGAGCTCTATCCTTTATTCTTTATACCTATTCACTTCCACCGAAAGGGCATTGTGTGGAAAGTTTTGTGATAACAAAATTGGCTGAAAGAAAGGCAAAGCAAGGGTTTTGGTTATTGTAGTGGAGAGCCCACGTGAGCCCTCGGAAAAGGTAGTCAAAGGTTTGGAGTCCACCTGAGGTTCCAAGCTTCGCTCATAACTCGACAACCTTGTAGTTAAATTTGGTGTTGACTTGTTATTTTAAATATTCCAGTTTGCTGACAAACCATTTGAACTAAATTACACAAAAAGTTACCTTTTTCTCGTTAATTTACTTGTCAGACAATACAACAGAAAGTATAGGTATTGCTAGAATCGACACGGGACCAATTGGCACGGGTTACTTGATTCGCGCCAAAACTATTTTGATCCACCACAAATAATTGTTAGAACGGCTGTTTTTTGGATATTTTACATCTTGTTTTCTTGTTTTTCTAGGCTAGATGCCCACCACCCCGTCCGCTATCGCTACCTCGCGCTATGACAGTGAGTTTTCCATAAGAGAAGCACTTCATGCTTTACATGTTGTTCACTGAAGATTTTGATTCATGAAAAGTGGCTTGTGTAAGTGTTGATTTCGTCATTTACAACATAACATTTCAGCTAAACGCAATCCAAAGCATTATTCTTTCTTGTGGTTCAGACATGGTGAGATCTATTTTGTTTTCGATAGAGCTCAATTAAATGAAAATGGAAGCGCTAACAATCGTAGTATTCAACTATGGAAAATATGGATATTTATTAATTTTGCGCAAAGTATCTAGTTATTTGTTAAAAACCAACACTCTTGCTAGTGAAGAAGGTGATGGACAATCTTTGAACCAAAAAGCGATGAAACTGATTAAGAATCGACCTACAACCGATTGGAACGAAATCAGTGGAGTTCAGACGGTAGCTGGGCGTTTCGCCTGTCGTTACATTGTATAGTTTTAGGTGATGCTTAAGAAAAATGCTACAGTATCTTTATAAAAAATAAAGGATAAAGCTGTCGGCGTTGATCAATCGTTTTAGGGATGCGCCATGTATTCGACTTCATTAAGCATCTTTTGAGGTGGCTGAATGCATATCTGGCCTTTACAATGACTCACGGGGCTTGCCGACTTGTCGAGTCAGTGCTGCTCTCCTCCGAGACAGGTCTGGCACCAATTTGCCCTTCTCGAAAGGACGGAAGGCTTGGTGGGCCGTGGGCGCGGAGATCCATTCCACGTGTGTGTCGCAGTGGCGCCTCCCACCACTGCGCCACACTCGCCCTTATGCCACGCCCCTTATGTTTAGGATTATCTACATGCATTATGAAGTGTCTTTACACGACCCTTAATTTTATCCCGCTTCTTCACTATTAAATTGTACGGTTTGACAGATAACCAGTCGGTATATCTAGGACTATCTACATGCAGTATGAAGCCTCACAGATTTTCCAAATAGCTTTTTGCCTTCTTTTCGCGAGACTTTTCGCAACAAAGTAAAAACAGATTCATTGAAATATTTGGAAAGCGGAAGATGGAAAAGAGTTGGATAATATTGCCACTGCCTACCCATGTGTTCACTAAGTCCACTCCAAATATTGTTCATCGGCTCTTCAGTGGCATCAAAGCGAACTCCCTTCATTGAAATCGCAATTTACAAGATTTGCTCAAAGATACTTAGACCGACATCCTGCACGATAACAGTAAGTCGAGATGTGTAAATAGAGTTAAATTCTCGATGGAGTATATTCTCATCGTCAAGTTCAGCCGGTACACCTGTATTCATATTTTGCCTTGCCATGGCTATTCCGAATAGTTCAGTCAAAACTTGAGCTCAACAATGGCATCGCCGTCTTTTTGTGGTGTTGTTTCCACACACGAGGAGCAATTGAGGGTGAATTCCCACTAGATTTCTAACATCAGTGCTTCTGGTGTTATCGCGTTAGTTGACAGTTGTAGTAGCTCAGTTTATTATAAACTGGAACTGCTGATTATTCAACTAGATTAGAAGCTGAGTCTAGTCGGATTTTATGAATGTTTTCGGCTTGGGATTACTCAACAATAAGATTTCCTTGGCTTTCATGTATTTTATGTGAAAAAGTGTTTCAACTCTTACCTCCATACAAATCAACTGAATCTCAACGGTACGCACACACTTCAGCTAATCATACTGAACACCAGACATGTTGTTGTTCTATTACAAAATATGGTGTAGCACAGTGGTTATTGCTGCCCAACAATAATAGATGGTCATCGGTTTGGTCTTTCGTTTCGGCAAGTCAAGCCTACTTTACTTACGGTGTCGATGAAATGGTACTAAACCTGTCCAGGAGGGTTAAAACACTGATTAGTATATCGATAGGAAAATACAAGTCATTCGGCTGGCTAGATATGTATTCAGTCATCTCTACGATGTTAAGAATCGAGTCTAGTGCATGACGTATCCACCGGATATATTAGTAAGGAACACTTCTTCCCCTATCCTCTAAATATGATGTATAGGTTGAACATTTGCTTGCGCGCCAACAAAAACCGATAGATTAAGTGGTTTTCAGGATGTTGTGTACCGACGACGTCTGTTCTATGGATGATGGTTGTATTGTTCATATTCGCTGTGTTTACATGTATTTTTTGTTGTCTCATTATGTGCTTTGTACGTTGGGTAGGTGACTTCATTTCTTCTACTAGTTGTCAAAAAAAATAGTCTAGGGAACGATGAGTTACAAAATCTTATCAGGCGTTCATCTTCTCCTTTATGAAGGGCACGACATTGGGTTTTTCATCTCCCGTATGGGCATTTGGTGCATGAAATGCCAATTTTATTAAGGCGACGGCCGTTAAGATACCTCAAAATCGGACTTGTCTGAGCGTGACAGGAGATCCCAAACCCAAACCAATAACTGTGCCACACGTTGAAGACGACTTGATATTACTGTAATGTGACCTTTCTCGAATAGGTTCGAACCTGCAAATTCCTTCGACAGTGGACACGTCTTTTTTCGGTCACCGTTTATACAACCTTATACTGCGACGACGGCAGATCGATGGTGTTGTTTAAGATCTATCAGCGAAGAATCCGGAAGAAATCGGATTCGTTGCGATCAAAATATCGACGTGAAGATGAACAGCAACGGGAGATGGAGAATCGAATGAAAGAGATCGCTAATAGGCGTACGTTCCTGCATTATTAAGTCAATTCTTAGATATACTGTACGGCAAGATGCCATAGACTCGTGCCAGTTGAGTCAATTAAAACATTGGAAGCACTCTAAAATTCAGTCCCTTAAATAGTATGCTGTGGTAATCTTGTACCATCTTCCTACAGTAGTATTATTTGATTCATTTGAAGCGTAAATAATTTCCGAACCTTTCGGGCGGAGGCAATGATAGGGTTTCTCAATTCAGCAGGTTTTTCTCATTTCACACCAGAAGTTCTGGACAAATGGACATTTTTCGGATTACGGGCACGAAGGGTAGAGGTTGCAGTATTTGATAGCCCGTAACGCTTTCCTTATTTTCTAGGAGAACAGTCACGGAAGTAACTCCCACGACCGACTTTCTATTAACCTCGGCATTGATCAAGTAATTCTTCGTGTTTTTGTTGAGCAAACGAGAGGTGTTATTATTCTTTATTCACGAATGAGCTGACGTTTCGGCGGATTTCGTCTTTCTCAGAGCCGCTTTCTATGAGGTCTCCACTAAGTATGTCACGTGGAGACCAACCGCAGACCAACATAATGATTACATTATACTTTCATGTGATTTCTGTGCGGTTGGTCTCTACGTGACATACTTAGTGGAGACCTCATAGAAAGCGGCTCTGAGGAAGGCGAGATCCGCCGAAACGTCAGCTCATTCGTGAATAAAGAATAATAACACCTCGCGTTTGCTCAACAAAAATACGAAGAGTCACGGAAGTGTTCCGTTAAATTTGTGCTTCATAATTTGCTAGCTAACTAGTTGGGTGGGTAGCACAATGCTAGTAATGCCGACCACGAACACGGTACTGCTCCGACCCCGTCACGGGCCTATCGAACCTCCCAACTCTTCGAGGTCAGGAAATTGATACCAAACTTGTTCGGGAAGAGTTTATTCTCCGAATGGCAAGTGAAAACGTTCCAACCCGGCTATCTCTTAGTTTCAAGGAGAAGAATCCACCTGATCAGAATTCAAGGACATTCATGAGGTAAGGAAAATCCTGAAACAGCTGCGAAACCCACATGAAAAAAGTTGGAAGAGCTTCGTGAATGATGGGTGCGAGGTGGCCAATCGAATGCTAGAATTGATAGGTTTTTCGAGTAGATTTGAAAGATAGGTCATGTAAAATAAAATAAAAGAACAGTTAATGGGTAAAGAGCATCATAGGTGTCTGACAGCTCAACTAACAGCGAGGCCTTCAGGTGCAGAACAGTTGGCGTCACCGTTGACCTATGATCCTTAACTTGCATGCATATTGAGCGCCAAAAAGAAGACCATAATGTGATTATCCGCTTTTTGTCTATACAACGTTTCATTGGTGGCTCATACAGTATCTTAATGACCTATTAAGCAAAGAGTTCGCTTTATAGACAGATACCTGTTTATCTTGCAGTGTAGATCTTCATGATCACCTGTATCACCTGTAGTCCTGCTAATCGTTGAGTGACTCGAAATCTTCCATTTTTCCCTGTTGCGTACAAGAGTAGCCTAGTGGGTTCTGCTCGCTCTAGGGACTCGTCGAGCATCATATCTTGCTTCAAGGCTCTTTGTGAAAAAACTCTGACCATCGCGTCGGTGGTCTTCCTGCAGTACGTTTGACATCCCGAGGAATCCATTCACTAACGGCTCTTGTCCATCGCTTGTCATTCATACGCATTACGTATTCGGCCCACCTTATCTTTGACTGTTTAGCGTACAGAACGGCATCTTTAATTTTTAATCGTTGACGCAGGTCGGAGCTTCGGATCCCATCCCTTACTTGTGCGGAATGGGATACTCCTAGCGTCGTCCTTTCGACTGCGCGTTCGATAACGCTGAGTGACCTTTCATCTTGCTTACGCAGCGACCAGGTCTCTGACGCATACGTTAAAGGCAGGAAGTAACGTTGAGTCAAAAAGGTGGGCACGGAGTCGGCTGTTCTTTGTTCTCTTCACTACATCCTCGTTGGTCTTCATGAAAGCTGTACATTTCCCGACCTAGATAGATAAAACTGGAGCATTCGGAGATATTTGTTCCGTTGAGCGTGAATGGGGCATGCGAAACCAATCCGTTCTTCATGAACATAGTTTTTGTGAGATTTAGTCGAGGGCCAATCTTTCCACAGGCTTTATCAAAGTCGGCCAGTATTCGTTCCGCTTGGCCAATGTTTGGTGTTATAAAGACGATGTCATCAGCAGAGCGAAGATGGTGTAAGTGCCGACCATCGATTTTCACCCAAAGTTGTCAAATTCTAGTGTTCGCATGACGTTCTGGAGGGTGGCGGTAAACAATTTTGGCGAGATGGCATCGCCTTGGCTAAGTCCTCCTTTGACGTCATGGTTAACATCGTTGTAAAATGGTGACACCTTGGTTATAAAATTTTTGTACAGCTCACGAAGAATCTTTATACACTGAGTAGGAACTCCATGACTATCAAGGCCTTCCAAGACTGCTATCTCAACTGAATCAAAGGCCTTCTGTAAATCGATGAAAGTGAGACAGAGCGGTTTTTTTTACTCTCGCGATACTTCAACGTGCCGTGTTACCGTGTGGATGTGGTCCATCGTACTAAATCCTGTTCGAAACCCTGCTTGCTCACATGGCTGTCCTTCGTCTAGTGTTCTGTCAATTCTGTTTAAGATGAGTCGAGTGAAAAGTTTGTAGACGACAGACAGCAAGCGGATTGGGCGATAGTTGCCGACATCGCGCAGGTCACCCTTCTTGAACGACAACACGGTCTTGCTGGTCTTCCACTGAGTAGGGACCTTGCATTCAGACAGGTAACGTGTGAAGAGCTGAGCCACTGTGTTTACGAGAACTGGCGGAAGGTTCTTCAAGTGTTTTGGACCTATCCTGTCCGGACCTAGTACTGTTCGATTTTTCACCGAAGAAATGGCATGTCGGATTTCGGAAGGGAGAGCCGGTGGTACAACATATCCATCCTCCTTTATTTCATATGGCGGAAGGTGGACGTGGCTATCGAAGAGATGCGAGTAGTATTCGTCAATGGTTTTCTCCATTGCCTATCTGGACGCTGTAACTGTTCCGTCTGGGCGCAGAGAGCAATCATTTTGGTCTTGTAGTTGGTGAAGCTTCGGTGGGCTTTGCGAATGTTTTTCCCAGCCTCTGCAGCTTCGTCCATTGCTGCTCTTCTCTCTTTAAGATCTTCTTTTATCGCCTTTCTACGCTGTTTTGCAAGTTCGGGCGTTAGTTCGCGGTTGCCTGCAGCTCGTGCGATTCCACGCTGGCGTATCAGCTCGAATGTTTCTGGAGACAGACGTCTCTTGGTGACTTTCGAACTCTCAGCTTTCATAGCGATAACATGAAAATGTTGAATAAGCCGATGGTATTCTTCGTCGATGTTGTCTACAACGGCATCTTCCCAACAGCTGGTTAATGAATTGAGTAAATCACAGTTTACGGTGGTTCTGGGACTTCGGCTTTGGAATTCAGCGGCTTTTTGTTCTTTTCGCGAAAAACTGAATCTTCCACAAAGGAGACGATGGTCTGATCCCGTGTAGAATTTTGGGACAACAGCGACATCGGTTAGGCAAAACCTTCCACTTACTATGATGTGGTCTATTTCAGATCTTCATGGTACTGATCATCACCTCCTTAACGAGCCTTTCTGATTCGTCTTTGAGTCATAGACCTTTTTGTGGCTATTTATAATTTAGGATATTTAATTATCTCGTAAAGTCGGGTTAGTTCGCTAATTTTACTTGCACATCTTGCATTACTGACTTTATTGAAGTAATGCAAAGGCGGTTCCTAGTAGGCATAGTTTGTCAAAGATCATTGCTGAGAGGCCATATCAAGTGTCGTAGAAACGGGAAACAACTCTTAAATAACCCCTTGAAATGGCGATCGAATGCTTCTTTCATCTACCGTAGAAATACAACTTCTTGCCTTGGATTAAGGTTATAAAATATGGATGGCCTTTACGGTCATTTACAAAAAATGTCTACCGCTATGCCAACTGGCCCAATGAATTGAGTCAATCAAGTAAAACCAAGAAGTTTCAGCCGTAGTTAGATCGACTTTCATCTTCAATACGTGTTTGTCCCTTGTCTGAGCTGTTCCGCCTACTATTTTTGGGGATAGACTGAACGCTTCACCTAAAGCACTTTGTCATAGAAAGCATTCAACGCACGTGAACTGTTTCCTTAAAAAAGCATATTTCGCTCATTTTGATCAACAATTCATCTTGAAAGTAGTTAGACATGGTGAGACCAAATATGTGTTCGTACCTGACATAATACTTTAGCGGTACACACGCCTGCTCGGCAATACGATGAACGTGAATTGAAGGGCGAATTGGCGAAATCACAACAACTGGTGGGCCCATTTCGATGTCATTGATGTAATTCTTTTAGAAATTTAGTTACTTACAAAAACAAACAGTTCAAAACAAGAAACGCGACCGCAGAACCCTCAATGAACTTTCAGGTAGTTCCACCAGTTCCACAATACGAAAATGCACCGCAAAAAATGAGACAATTGCCGGAGAAACCCGCGACTCCTCCTAAGCCTGCTGTACAGGCTGTAAGGTAAGAAAAGTCCTTTCTACGCTCACATTTAACGCATGGGCCAGAGGTGTCCTGCAATACACACACGACCCGTGGTTCGGTTCGATGCCTTGGGCTAACCATCATTCCGGGACTGGCAAATTGGCGCCAGAATTGCTCGTGGAGATAGAACCACTGATCTGACGAATTGGTACGCTTTTGAAAGCCATTGTAAAGAAAGAATATGCATTCAGTTTTCTCTATGATACGTAGCGTGCTCCAACATACTTTGTATGGCTGAAGAATTAATCAGCTTAAAGCGCTTTGTCCTTTATTCCTTCACCGAAGTGCCAGCGTTCTAACCCGTACAAGTGGCGTTTAACTTGGTCGTGTCTCATACAACGAATTGTCGTTGGAACATAGATCTTGAAATGTTTACAACCAAAACAAATACGTCGAGCTTACCACTGTCGTTAAGGAATCTGGTGGCGATAGTGAGAGAATGACTCTGGAAACAGTAGGAAGAGTGAATAAAAGTACCGTATCGTGTTCTTTCCCTTTTCCCAGTGTTTAGTGCACTGTTTCTTGATCCTTGAACGTTAACATTAGTTTAGTTCAACGTTGGCCAATATTTCTTCGTACAAATCTCGTTAGATAATTATGGCAGTTTTTGTTGATGGGTAAACAAAAAGTTGGTATTACAGCATTTATTAATACAGAACAGCTGACGATTTGACGGTTCCACCGTCTTTAGAGCTGTTTTGTTCTTTGTAAGTCTTCCAGTTATTTGATGGAGACAAGATGCACGGAGCATTAAATGGGCGAGGAATGACATTCAACAGTGAATTATTTACAAGATTAATGCTGACGGCACTGATCGATAGAACTAGCTGAGAGACAGGCGAAACGATAGGCCTACATAGTGTGGTGGTGAACGCGTTACGTCCCAGAAAGGACAATAGCGCGTTCGGTCCCCACCACAGACACCTGCGGTCCGGAGATTTTGCAAATATCTCAGCATTTTTATGGCTATTTACAAGATTGCTATGTCCAGTCCATTCTCCACAAAAACAAGTCTAACGAATAGTTATTAATTTAGTGCTTTTATTCTCCTAGACAGATTTGTTATAAATTTCCGCACTCTAAAGCAAGGGAGGGTAAAACGAGGACGACAATTGAGTATTACAAGTGACTTCTAACCACTGTGCTACTCATGCTCCGCCTCTCTATTGGCTTAGACGCGTGTCTTTGGTTGAAATGAACTTCATTTGATACTGATATTTTATTGATCACAATGTGAATCGTTTTCTTTAGTAAAGAGCAAAATTCGTTCAATTTTCAGTTCACCAAAATTTCCTATATTCACTGGAGGTACGCCCTTGCAATCAAGCAGCTTCAAATGTGAAGAAGCAGTTCCAATTGTTGACGACAAGACCAAAGATCCTGATTCCTATTTTTCAACAGTAACTACCAATGCAGTCAGCAAGCTCACAACGACTGCTTCTGCTGGCACCGTTACTGGTATCACATCGTCAGAAGAGAAATCTACTGTGAGTACGATACCAATAAAACGAGCACTTAATCTGTCATGAATAGTGACTATCTGACTATCTGTTGAGAAAGAAACTGATATTTGATACGTGGGACTCAGAGGTTTTCTCCCAAAGGATTCAAACATATCATGTGAGAACCGAAGGACTACACTTACACTTTCATGATCTCACAAGAAAAATCCACACTTCATCAAGAAATGTCCTATACTCTTTTGCAGTCATGTCGTTTATATAACAATACTTTACAACTAAATATTCTTTTTATAAAGAGTGTCCATAAAAGTTTTAATTTGTTAAAGTACATTTAAATATATACATTGCCATCCCCCTAACATGCTGATGGCAGCGTATGTCATATATAACAGACATGGCCTTCCATTGTTATACTTACATAGGTCCCGTAGTAGAATCTTCACTTCTGATAACGAAACCTTAAACCTGCTCGATAAATTATCCGTTTTTCTTCAAGGTCGAGACAGTCCAGATGGAAGCACCAGATGTCGCTGCAACTGTGCACGCTGTGGCCAAGGAATGGCAAGGCCAAGATTCTCGTCCACCGTTAATCGGCATCATTGCTGTGCCAAAGAAACGGCACAGTTCAGGTTTGTAATTGATTAACAACTATGAGTGACATTGTAGCGCAGTACGCTTAGCCAGTGGCTTTTGGCACTTTATAATATACACTTGATTCATGGTTCAACCGTGCTCCGTGAGTTCATTAAGTGCACCTTACGATATTTTTCTGCAGTCCGCAAAATAGTTGCAGAAGACCAGTATGAAAAAGTAACAGAGCTCAATGTGTATATCAGAAACCACCGGAATTTATTCTATAGACCAAATATCCACTCAATCACTTTTGCAGTGTTACGAATGGAGTTGAATGCAATGCATAGAGCATTTCTGAGGAATTTATCAACGACACAAGCTCATGCTCTGCCATTTCATAAACCCATGGTTACCGTCCAGTTGGGATGAATGGCTTCTAAGCGATTTGGATTTTGCTTCGCTCAAACAGCTGACAACTGTGATGTAACTGACCTTAGCACGAAGTTAAACATTCGGTTAACCGCAGTCAGCATAGCCGTAAGCCGTGTGACTTCCCTCACTTTCCTAATAGATCTGCAAGAACCTATCCCTAGTAACTAGCACTTACATCGATTTAGAATCAAAGCAGAGCACTGCCGCTGAGAGTGCAACACCAACGGGAACAACAACTGGCCAATTTCCTACTGTAGGTTTATGACGACATGCTTTCTTAATCTGTTCAGGCTTCCTAACTCAATTAAGCACGATTGAATCCTAAAAATAAAAGTGTTCATTATTTTTATGGATCTGAACAAACAACGAGAACAAATTAGCAGATTTTCGGAAGATTTTGTCTAATGTCCATTCTTTGGATTTGTGATACAAAACGGTTTAGACGAAAGTTGAATTGTCATCGCCGTGCACCTACACGAAATCAGAGGAGCCGTTAAGGTTTGATTCAGATAGTTGAATAGGAAATAGGTCAATGCAAAACATCGTTTTTGAGTAAATTATGGATTTAGAAGAACGACAAAGTGAAGTTTGTGACATTTTCCATAGACTACTTAATTGCTTAGATCGTCCTGTCTTGAAATATTATCTAAAATGAGTCCCAGCATTTCTAATCGCCTCCGTGCATCTCAACTACAGGGTGGTCGTATTAGCGCGAGACTTCGGCTTCAATATTGTTGTTGACTATGCTGTCGTCTTTCACTCAGTGCTTGTTGAGCTTGTTTTTCTTGGTGTCGTGAGATAGTTGTGTTAGTGCGTTCCAAGGTTATGAATTGTTGATGGCCTTTTCTCATAGGATCCAGAAGGGCAGTTAACACTTTACCACTAGGATTCTTCTAGGGTGATGGTAAATTCTGTGAACAGTCGACTGGCAGCTTGAGGATGATGTGGAGAGCCGAATCCTCATTTTCATAAGTTCCTTATGGAAAAGATTGACTGTTGATTGAATTTTTCCTATTATGTTATATACTGGGAAATGTATCTTGGACTCTGAGAAATGGTCCCGTGAGAAAAGCAGAAATTTTCTGAGCTTATTCTTGAAAATGTGGAGAAGGTTGCATGCCTGAAAATTGGATTTTATAAAGAGTATGGGAGAGTGAGAGCGAAGGAGAAAAGTAGGAATATTTCCCATCGGTAGCACGGAAATTATAATAACTTCAATTCCAGCTTATTATTTATTGCCTACTCTTTTCTAATGGCAATGTATATTGCGAAATCAAACTTCAATGATCCTGAGATATTTGCAAAACTCCGGACTGCAGGTGTTTGCGGTGGGGAAAGAACGCGCTAATGCCCTTTGCGGGGAGTAACGCGCTCACCACCACACTATTCGGGTCCTTCGTTTCGCCTGTCTCTCAGCTAGTTTTATCGATCATTTTCCATAGCAGTCACTCGTTAGCGGGATTGATCTGGGGAGACCAAATCAGCAACGAATCCAGTTAGGCTGAGGCTGTAGTTATAATCACAATTTCAACTTATTAAAGGACAAGGACGGAAAGGACAATAGCGCGTTCGTTCTCCACCGCATACACCTGCGGTCCGGAATTTTGCAAATATCTCAGCATCATTGAAGTTATAATAACTTCGCTACACTTTTTAACGGCACTGGACTCAGTAATACCTAAATTCGTCAAATTGTACTCTAACTCTGCATAGGCAGCTCCTAATGCCTGTGCCCAATACTAATTCTGGTGCATCAGCATTTATAAAAATGACAGAGGATCGAGAATGACAAGTTGACCATTGATATCTTAGACAAGAAACCCGTATACCTTACATACAGGGAGACCTGCTACTGTGCTTTTGTCGGTGGACTTCGGAGGATGGTCGAGGATCTCAGACGAAACAACGAATCGATAACACATTTCTGGACCCACAATAACTCACGAAGCACAGAGGACGTCGATGGTGATTGTGAATCATCAAAATTGATGTGGAATCGTTTAGACGAAACGTAGATGTCATAGCTATGAAACTAACCATAAAATAGTCATTTTCTCCAATTATTAGTGGGACTTAATGTTCGGTGCTGCAAACGACGATCAACGAACATCAGTACAAGAGCACATAAAACACGTACTGTGAGAATGTTAAGATACTATGGAACGAAGAAAGCTGTAAAGACCGAAAAAGATTATGAGAATGGGGATAACAAGCCAAAGGACGACTGTATGGCTCCAACAGTGTAGGAGCCTTCAGATGTACTGGTGTTGATTAACAAAACAGAACGAAAAAGGAAGGACATTCTGAGAGAATGGCGGCACAAAGGAGGGTCCCATGTGCAGTCTTAACTCAGTGGTAGACATGTCTTTTTTACAATGCTATGGTTCATAATGTTAGTTTCTATCAATAGTGAACTTTAATATTTTGTAAAGCAAGAAGTTTTAAATTTTCAGGACAGAATCGTCGGCATTCAGGGCAGGAAACGAGCTGATGGCGGTAACGAATCAGCTGTCGAATGAGGCTGATCAAGGTTTATCACTAACATTTGTCGTCTTTTATCGAATATGATACAGCCGAACATCCTTAAATACATAGCGTATTGAAATAAGACAATATTATCACATATTCAACTAATACCACAGGCAAGCAAAGCTTTTAACCACGCCAAGAACACCACAGCTCCATTCGTATCTGTAGTGCACTAGAGCTGTTCATTAAGCTCTGTCCTATAAACGGAAGCAAAGGGCATAACAGTTGTTGTTTTTGCGTGAGCGAAGTCAGAATAGCTCGATTAGTGACATGGCATGTTGTACTTCTGAACAAGCGGCCGAACTCATTCTCCGCTTGGATAACGTTGTTGAAGGACGAACCAAGAGTTGTAATCTTAACCTTTTTATTTACAGCTTACTCTTTTTTAATGGAAAGGTATATTGCGAAATATAACTTCAATGATGCTGAGATATTTGCAAAACTCTGGACCGCAGGTGTTTGCGGTGGGGAACGAACGCGCCATTGTCCTTTCCGGGAAGCAACGCGCTCACCACCACACCATGCGGGTCCTTCGTTTCGCCTGTCTCTCAGATAGTTCTATCGATCAGTGCCGTCAGCTATCCCGCAACAAATATCTCAACATCATCTTAACAGTTGTAAATAGCAAACGGTGAATTGGGAAATCAATGGGCAAATCAGCTAAACACTACAGATCGTGTGAATGAGTCGTTCAATGAGTTATATCGTCCACATATTTTGTTGATCTCGAGAATGGAGACCGTTTAGTGGTGTGTTTCTATGAGGAGTAGGCTTTTCCTGTGAATTTGAACTGTGAATTTTTTCAGTGATGCAGATATGTGGGTTACATTTGTTAAGTAATGCATTATTGTAACAGTCACCAGGATTGGCTCCCTATTAACTCCAGCATCGGATTGTAAATGCACCGTTTTCTTGTTCAGCAATCGCGAGGTTGTTATACAGTATACGTTTCCTTCCGTACAAGCAATACAACAGTAATTGACACAACAATACAACTTGACTCACATCAGCCATATGCGACTGTAATAAGCGGTTCCTCCTCAGTGGAAGGCACGTTAGATGCGGTTCTGTAGAAGGCGATACTGTCGAAACGTCAGCTACTGTTGTGTTGTATGCGTTTTTGTACGGAAGTAAATATATGCTGTACAACCACCTGACGATTGCTAGCAAGAAAACGACGAATTATAATGCTTTATTGTTATTATTTAAGGTTTCACTTATAAAGTAATTCATTATCTTTATTAGTTTAGCAGCACCGTACACGGGACCGTTCTTCCCATACTGGACAGCGCGTCGATTCGTGTTGACAAAAGTGGAACCGGTTGGTGTCAATTGTAATATTAATAAATCTAACCATATATTTCATAAAAAAAAGTTCCACTGAGCAGGCGCATTTTATAAAAATGAGGACGTGCTGGTGTTGACCCTTAGAATAGATTTCAATTTCTTCGGATGGTGAATGGCATTGCAGCTTGCTTTGAAATAAGTGGATAATTGAATTAACAGTGGAGGCAACAAGCTAGTGCGGCAGTTAGAGGGTTCTTCTGCAATGCACGCAGGGTCGATCGTTCGATCCCGTGCCGAATGATAAATAACTATCTTCACCTTATTATTTTCTGCCTACTCTTTTTAATGGCAGGCTATATTGCGAAATATAACTTCAATGATGCTAAGATATTTTCAAAACTCCGGACCGCAGGTGTATGCGGTGAGGAACGAACGCGCTATTGTCCTTTCCGGGAAGTAACGCGTTCACCACCGCACCATGCGGGTCCTTCGTTTCGCCTGTCTCTCAGCTAGTTCTATCAATCACAGCCATTAGCAATCACCCGTCAGCGGGATTGATTTGGGGAGCCCAAATCTTCACCTCATCTTGTCGAGATTAGCAGCTTGGTAGTAGAGTTGCCTGGTAGTAGAAAATGAATTGACGCATATGAAAGGCTTCTGAGAGCCAATGAATGGGACAGATATACCTCTACGATACTGTGAATGAAGTCGAATGCATGAGGGTGTCAATAAATAATCAGCCTATTGTTACAAGCAAAAAACATTTTGTAATCATTGTCATTGTCGCTGACTGATCCACACTTTTTTCTTGATTCTGCAACAACTCATTGCTGTTGCAGAATACGTCACCATCAGGGCGAAGTCATGGCACGAAGATCGTAACCTCCGAGCATAGCATATGGGCTCACAGTGGCAACGGGCGTACAACTAGGTAAGGACATCAGGAAGGTAATCGTTGAACTTTTCAGAAACCATGTGCAAATAAGTCCGGTATGCATTCCAATTGGAATGCATGCTGTGTAGTGGTTATAGGTACATTACAGCACGCGCTTGATCAGTTCTTCCTTCTATTCCCGTCCCTGGCTCCCCAAGCCTTCGATCTAACCGGGACAGGCAAGCTGGTACCAGAGAGGATACATCGCTGGGCCTATGGTGCTACGAATCGAGTAGTCTTCATTGCGCATCTCTCAGAAATCGATCAACGCCGAGAGCTCTATCATTTTTATCGCTCTCAGTTTGTTTACCTATTTCATGTTTGGGTAAAACCTTGAATGACGTGGTCAAATCGCTGGAGATGACAGTGCCATCAACAATGTCGTGCGAGAATTCAGGTCGGTGCGTCAGTAACACAATGAACGACCACAGAAAAGGAATGATAAAACTGCCACTTCTAAGCTGAGAACTTTTCGTCTTCACTGTCATTGCTTCCAAAATAACGAGAAAATTTTACAAGTGTTTGTGAATTCGAAAGAGATTGCTGGAGTAATTTACGCCTTTTTACTGCGGCCTATCCTGCAGAGTCGGACGGTGTGTGCTACTTAGCCAAGTGTGGCATCCTGCCATTTCATTTATCTTTTAATACCTAGTTTTCCAAAATTGTTGGTCTTATGATATCCTATCTGCCCTACCCTAGTTGTTGGATAACAATGTTTCGTTTCCAGTGACGAACCGTCGTGAGGGTTTCCGAATACCAAACTGCACATCGTATTGGCGAAGATCTGCTTGGCGCCCTTCGAGCGGCTCCCTATGAGCTGTTTTCGTCGTTGTCAACCGTTGCAAATTTCAGAATATTGAAAGGAAACAAGATGACTAGACACGTTTGTTGGTTCAAAGTCCTCAGGAAGACTGACTGCACTAGGGCAACGACAAACTTCGCTGAAATATCCTACGAGGGAAATCTGCGGCGATATTGATTTAATTTCATCGAATACAAAAATCTTAAACGGATCTCGGAGAGGAGGACCACGTTCACCATTTTTTCGATTTGCTCTTAATCTGATTTATAACGTTCGATAGGATGACGTTAGTGAAATACGTTAACATCCTTCATCTCGGCTATTCTTGCGCTTAACTTCTCTTTCCATCAAAAAACTAATAGGTCTTGAAATTGCTGGAATGGGATGAAAAGACATCCGGCGTCATTCATTATGTCATTGCACGGCTAAAGTACTGAAGAAATTACATTTCTGGCAGATAAACGAAATGGTCCCATATTGACTTTCGAGAAGTAGCGATGACGTTGCGGTTGGGGTTTATCAACGAGAAGTTGTTACTCCGGATATGTGATGCATTTCTAGAAGATACAGAAAAATCAGATCCACGGTTTTCGTCCAAGAATATTATGAGGAATGGCAAGACAACGCTTATGCGTTCCCATCGTGGCCGACAGGATTCTTCATGAAGAAAATGAAAGCGGTGATGAAGCTAGGAAATGACACTTCCCTTTTATTTTATTTTCCCATTTTCTTGATCGACGTCTCTTTCGCTAACCTAGTCTGGCATTAGTCTTATACCACTCTTGTATTCATTATCCGAAATACCACTTAATGTGACGTGATCAGTGACAAAGTGTTTTCTGGGCATTGCTAGTTGATGCGTTCGAACTTTAGCGACTGTGTGAAGGAAGTCGACAGGTCGAAGGACGCAAAGCGCCCGAACGAGACCCAACCTCGTGACGTCTACGAATTGCGTCGAAAACTACAGCGTCTACGAGCGAATGAGATCTCATTGGGAATGAAGGTGTAGTACTAGTTATTGCTAGACATGGAAACTTAAAACAGCCTAACCCCAACTATTTTTTGTTTCCAAGTATATCAAAACCGCTTTCAGCAAGTTCTTAATGAATCAAGAAAACGTAATCAGCCGAGTGGATCTACTTCAATAGCACAACTTAGGTATGTCGCTCACGCTTCCGATAGCCTTTCTGAATGAGTTGGTGTTCGAATTAGCTGATTTTTCGATTACGATTTAATGCTTAACTAGAACTCTACAACTATCACAATGTTAAGCTAAATCTGGAAAAAATTTATTCCACCACACTCAAGCAACTGAATACAGGCATGCTGGTGCAATCACTGCCACAAAGAATCAACCAGATACTCCAACGAAAACATTATCACCACAAAAAGGTGTCTATATGGAAACGAAAGGTTTGTTTTTGCCTAGGAATTATCGCAGTGGGGAGTGATGGTGGATTTTTTCGAGGATCAGAATCCTAAAATGATATAACGAAAGTTGTGGAACTTTTAGGGCTTTAGAAATTTAGAACAGTTTTTATCTTACAGCTGGATTTTGTTATGTGTTTATGATTTATGGCCACGGTAATAACGAATTCTCTTAACGCTTTGCCGTTTCATCGTGGCTGGGAGGAGCTCTTGGGTGTCGGACTGCGATGTACAGCGCGAGGACTTATCTCTGGCAGGATCTCCCAAGTTGAAAAGGAATCCGGCATTTTGGTCAAGGAGCCTAGATAAGAGTAAACCAACACCAGAGTCCACCACCGTCTTGGTATAAAAGTCGCATAATGGCAGATCTCCCTCTGATCCACAAGGGCTGCGACTGAATGTGGTGGAGAAGAACTGGGCAGACCTAGGCCAAGGTGACCTCGAGATTCCGGGAAACCACAATGGGTTAACCAACAAATCTCCGAAAAATAGAGATTATGCTGGGGTCCGCACAACCACTGTTGACAGGCCGTTCAGGTATCAAGTAAGTAAGTGATAACGAATAATTGCGTCAATGAAGCATTTTCAAGATGAAACATCAGTAGCGTAATGATTTCCTAGGAATCAGTGGTAATCTTTAGTAGAAGTAGGTGCACTTTCGAGCAAAAAGTTCACGTCTGAAATCTGAAAAACATTTCGTGTCGCAATCATAAGTGCTGATGCCTTGCTAATGCTCATCTGTGGCGCTTAGACGCTAATGTGTCGCTTCCCTTCTCTGATTGGCTTGCATGACAGGGGCGGATATCTTCAAAGCGGCAGCCAATGGGAAAGAAGCGATGCTTGAATGTAGTAGAGGAACGCAAAAAGCCACGTTTCAACAGCATATGAAACGCCTATACATTTCTTTTAGAGAACTTAACTACGCATTTAAAAATAAACTTTTTTCCTTAGTAATGATATGCATGCGGCGATGACCGATGACTAAAGCTGAATTACAGACACATACGAAAGGTCCACCAGTTCAAGCAACTGCTCATTAATGAGAGGAATTTACCAGAAGAAATAGTTCTATGTCTTATCATTTTGGAATTTTTATTGTTCTTATGTCTTTAAACAAGATGTCGTGATGTCAATTACATAAATGAATGGATGGCAACGTTGTGGACATCCTTCTTGGTTATAAAGTGCATCATTTAAATGAATCGAATAAACTTCTAGAGAAATCTGCAATCGTATAAATTTCTGTCTTGGTGTTAATCTGCACAAATGTTCTTGGGTTATTGGAGTACTAACGTCAATAATGTCAGGCAAAAGCTGAAATATAATGACGATAACCGAAGGCCGATAGCCACCATCTGCATTGCGGCGTCGTATGAGCTGATGTTAATTGCATTCAACTTATTCTAAGCGGAAATAATGAAACTGATCGATCGACGTAGAATATCCTTATGGAAAAATCGTGTTTTGACGAATATAGAAAAACTAGTGGTAGCTCTGGTAAAAACACCAATGATCTTGGAAGAGAAGACGAAAACTCGATGTAGGTAACCATCTCACACAGTGGGTGATTAAAAAGATGACAAAAGATGGCATGATGTTGACATTGCAAAGGGCACGAACACGAAGACTCAATTCTTACTTCTTGTTAGCAATTTTCTTCTATTTATTCTTTTTCTTTGTGTTTATGGATTCTATGGCCAGCTCGGATATCCATGCACAAAGAGAGACTGAGCAGAATCTGCCGACACTATGCTTAAAAAGAGTGGTTCTAAAAGGATTCATCAAATGAGTGCTAGTCAAAGCAAAATATCCACAATGACCCCCACTGACGTCAACTTCACTGAATTGTTATCTATCACTTTACGGATTAGATAAACCGAGTACAATATGCTAGTAGATTGGAGCCGCGGAGGCCGTACCGGAATCGAATGATGACTGGTCCTGAGTAGAAAACAGCTACGAATTTTGTGAAAAGGATGAAGTGTCTACCTTAAACGCCTATTGTTACTGCTACTAGGTAGTTCCTTCATTTGACGACTAAGATTACTAGTTCCACTCTATTTTATGAGTTATTAGTGAAGCGACCTCGATAAGATGTGGCAAGAATGCTGATTTAGCCTTTAAAATAGAAAGGGACAAAGCTCACTTAGTTGGTCAATCTCTGAGGTATGCGCCATGCATTCGACTTCGTTAATCATCGCTGGAGATGATTGAATGCATATCTGGCCCATAAAATTATTCGCAGTGTCCTACCGATGTAACCAACCAGTGCTGCTATCCTTCCAGAAATCCAGTACCAATTTGTTGACCCGGAGGGATGGAGAGTTTGGTGAGCCTGGGGTCCGGAAATCGATCCCATGAGTATTGTAGAACTCCTCCGACCACTGCGCTACGCACATCCATCTCCGACCACTGCGCTACGCACATCCATGGGTTAGTCTTTAAGTGTTAAAAACTACTTCTATAGGAAACTTGTGAGGGTGTGTTTAGCGCAATGGTTAGAAGTTCCATGCACGACACATATAGTCGTTGGTTTGATGCAGGCGACTCGAGATAACCAAGTCCTTTATCACTCTGGTGTCCGATAATTGACACCAAGTTTGTCCGAGATGGCAGAAGACATTGATTTCAAACTTCGCATGACCCCTGTAATTGAATTTATACATTAGATATGCATTCAACCATCTTTAACGAATGGAATTGAATGTGTGATGTAGCCGAAAAAGAAAGATTGAGGCACAACACTTTTTGTTCTTGAAACAATCCACAGAATGCTTTAGAATATAAATTAATGCATAAAGAACTCTAAAAGGAATAAGCTCTCAACGTTAATCAAACCCTTAGGAATGCGTCATGGATTCGACTTCATTAAGCATCGTTGCAAGTGAGTGAATGCATTTCTGGCCTTTGCAATGACCCGCGGTGGCTCACCGAAGCACCAATCCAGTACTGCTATCCTCTCAGACAAGTCTCGTGTCAATTTGCCGACCCTGGAGGGATGGAAGGCTCGGTGGCCCATGGGCGCGGAGATCGATTCCACGTGTGTGTTGCGCGGCGCCTCCGACCACTGCGCCACACGTGCCCTTTTAAATGAATACGTAGCTGTAGTATATGCATACATGCTGAATAGTAAATTGAAATGCTTATAGATAACCAAAGGGTTTATTTTGCTTAGAATTAAATGAAGCTTTCGATATTTTATGCTCAATGATTCATCCTTTGGCCGACTCCTCATGCTCGTAATTGCTTGGATACATTAATGACATTCCATCATGCAGTAGAGTCATGTGAGTAGCCTCCCTGCGACTTTTATTCGAGTGCTGCTTTTCTGGCTGCATAGCATTGTTCTTGCTGAAGTTCAGAAATTGGGAAAACGTCGCTACAAATTGGACCTTCGGGAGCTTTGTTTTCCTCATCGGACTTTTTTTCTGCTCGACGTATATTCTTCAATCAGTTCTTACTTTCTGCGATAACATGAAGTGCTGAATTCATCGTCAGCCTGCTGAATGGAATATTCTATAAGAAAGCAAACACTCCACCTCATATCTGACGTGCCAAACATCCTGGAATTTGTCAACGATATGTTAAAGCGGCGGCGATACGATAGATTGATTACCAAGGGTAAAGTGAAAGGAAAAAAATACTGTAATAAACTTGCCGATAAATTGTGGATTTAAGACGAATAGAAAAAAGATATCGAATGTTTAAGCGTAATTGGTGGCGTAGAGATGTCGCACTGAGCTTCGTCGACGGAAGAAGCGATGAGTATTTTGCACATTTAACTCATTATCGCGCTCACTCTCCTCTATTTCACTCTCGCTCTCCATCTTACTTTTCTCCCTCTTTGTTTTTGTTACTCCTTTCTCTCCCCCCCCCCCCCCCCCCCCCCCCCCNCCCCCCCCCCCCCCCCCCTCCCTCTTCTTTCCCTCATTGCTACTTTCTCTCCATCGAGTGCCCACTCTCATTCTCGTTCTTCATCTCATTCTCATTTTCACTCTCTCTTTCTCTCCTTATTATTCTCTGCTTTTACTCATCTCTCTCTTCCTTCATTGCTGCTTTCGCTTCATCAAGAACTCATTCCATCCTCACTACCTCCCTCTCTCTCTGTCTCTTTTCTCACTCTCGTTTCTCCTCTAGTCTTTAGTCCTGCTATCATTCTCTCATTCTATTCCTTTTTGTTCATCCCTTTCCTTCTTCTCTACTACTATATCCTCTTTATTTAATTCTATCATTATTTCACAAACATAGACGCCGTTTACTTCACAGTGGATCTGGTTGATTTCCTAGAGAAAAGGAAAGCGACTTCAATCCAAACCAAGCACATTTTATATGTCTAGAAGCAATTTGATATGGCGGTGATTCTGTGAATTTGATTTGTTAGAGCTTTTTAGTGCATTGAACGCTCATCCCCACTCTATCAAGCAAGATGCTCTTCCATAATAAACCAAATTTCGCCTGAATTTGTTGTGTTTACGAATTCCAAGCTTAGATGCTGTGCTAAAGCGACTGGGAATTTCTTCTGTTCCAGAATGTGAAAAAGTCTCATTAGCTGATATTCGAAAGAAATACTGCTCGGGTTGTCGTCCTTTTTTTTGCGAACTTTCAACATTTTTAGGAAAACGCGTCTCCTTTTTTCTGCACGAAAATTCCATCTAATCATCCCATTCTACTAGAAAACCAACGAAAACCCGTTTGTCATTAAGAGTAGGGTATAATCTGGGTGGTATTTATGACGGAAAACATCATCATATAGTCATCATGAGACTCCGTAATGTCCGCTATGTTATATCTGCTAACCGATAATAATCTTTCATCAGCCGGCTGAGATGAGAGGAGGTTCGTAGCCAAGAATTGTTATCGATTTGTGTTTTCATTTATATATAACACATACATACATACATGCACACACACACACACACACACACACACACACACACACACACACACACACACACACACACACCACTACAAGTTTCCACGCCNATACACACACACACACACACACACACACACACACACACACACACACACACACACACGCACACACACACACACACGCACACGCACACCACTACAAGTTTCCACGCCCTTGA